AAACAGCACATTGTTGAGAATTGGTGATGGTTGCTGCAGTGTAACTTAGGGCCTGGAGATATGAAATCTGAGTTTGAAACAACCAGCAAGTCTAAGTGAAAACTAAACCACTTCAATAGGAAACAATAAGAATTGTTTGTGGTTATTATGTTAGTTGGGGAAAGTACAACTTTTGCATTACCTCAATTTACAAAATTTATAGACAAAATTTATTTTACAAAAAAAATGCCCTATGCGAGTGGACCTTTGAGGGTTTTGTACTCTTCCCATCTTCTCCAAAGACTGCAGAGCCTGAGTTCCCATGCCAAGGCCCCAGCACCCAACCCCCAGCCCTAACCATCCCACCCCAGCCTCAACCCCTTGCCACCAAACCCCGTCACCAACCCCAGCATACATTGTGTTTATCAAAGCTTTTAACCAAGTGCGGTATGAAGCCCTCCTGATAAAACTGGAAGCCATGGGAATCCATGGTCAAATCTAGAATGTGTATCCCAGCTTCAAGATCCGTGTAAGGGATCAAGACTTACAGAGATCATCCCTCTTGAAAAGGGGATAAAGTGAGGCTGTCAATTTGATATGTTCATCAGTGACATATTGGATGTTGTTGAGGGGAACACACTTGTTGCGTCTGTTAGAATCAAAGGATATTACAGCACAGAAGGAGGCCATTTGGCCCATTGTGCCTGTGCCAGCTCTTTGAAACAGCTACCAACTAGTCCCACTCCCCCTGCTCTTAACCCATAGCCCTACACATTTTTCTTTTATAAATACCTATTGAATTCCCTTTTGAAAGAAACTATCGAGTCTGATTCTACAGCCCTTTCAGGCAATGCATTTCCGACTGTAACAACAAATGTTCCAGGCCTTCCGACGGGATTGTGGCGCTTTTGTTTGCAGAATCATAGTTCTGCAACCTCAAGAGATATTCAGGGTATTGATTGGAAGATACAAGGGACATCAGTCTCAATTGTTAATTATTATTGGTACCCTGGGGTTATGGTGGACACCAATTGTTTGCAGGTACACTATCCCGAAGCACTGCACAGAGAAGGGGCAAAAGGCATTATATTTGGGCTCATCTCTCTAAGGAAAATAAGGTTGCAATGCAGGTCAAGCTTGCTGCATACAAATGTGCACAGACAGTTCTCCTTTATGGATCTGAAGATGCTATGGAGAGGTTTGCCTAGCCCACTTGTGGAGTCCAGGATCAAGCAGTGAGGTGGATTTGTGGCCAATACAGCTGTGGGGAAGGAGGGCTCCTGGCAACACTGACTTGTCACTGAGCACCCTGGGGTAGATTCAGTTTCGCAGAGGGCATATCTATTACCAAGACCCTTCACATGGGGACATTGATTAAGCAGCTATCCTGTACAGGTCCTCCCACCACAGTGAAGGTTGATATCCATCAAATAGCTGATTAGGAAGCTCTGAGGCTTGGGCGACAGCTGCTGGGTGACCAGAATCTGATGTGAATAATCATACATCGAATGCTTGGAATTTGATTGGCTGCAGAGAAGCCACCAGCTGATGCTGAAGTTCTGCACTTCCAACTGGGGAACCAGCGCTCAATGGGAATTATTCTATTCCAGACATATTCATTCCCATTGGTAGCCGGGTTTGTGCGAGGGTTAGCGTTAGGGTTGGAACCCTTAGCCCTCACCCCTAGCCTCAACTCCCAATCCAAGACCACAATCCCCAACCCCTAGAATGCAGCTCCCAATCCCTAGGTCCCAGCTCCCAGCCCCCTAGGCCCCACCCCTAATCTCCAACCCTCAACACCCCAGTCCCAACCTCTAGAACCCAGCTCCCAGCCCCAACCGCCCACTCCCAGCCCTGACAACAAGACCCCAGCCTCCAAGCCCTAGATCGTCACGACTCACCCACAAACCCCAGCCCACAAACCCTCGCCCCAAGCCCCCAAACCCTAGACACCAGCCCCCAACCACCAGTCCACAGCCCCCAATCCATAGTCGCCACCCCCAACATCTTGACCCCAGCCACCAAACCCCAACCTCCCACCTCTAGGCAAGGTTCTCAGCCAGGTACGTACCTTCTTTATAACACAAAAGGTGAAGAATGATTCCAAGATCAGTGAACTCCCTCTTATATTTTGCTAACTCCTCCTCTTTCCAATGTATTGCACTGGTACTTTTCCCCTCCATTTCCAATCTCCTCCCCCTTTCAATGTATCAGTATGTTCCCACTTTCAGACCCATGTGATTCTTTCTTGCCTTTTCTGTTTCAATAACTCACCCAGGTCACAGACTTTGTCTCGTCAACGCTGTCCTCACCACTTTATTTTGGTCCCTCGACCATAAATTCATTTAAAGGAAAAGGGCCTTATTTTGCACAAACTCTATACATACATTATAATAATACATATATTATTAACTATATCTTCATCTTAATATCTTTGAAAAGAGGCAGTGTCAATTCAAAACAACATGACTGTGACAGTGGAGACAACACGGAGACGGTTTGAAAAGTTGGATTTCAATCAGTCAAGGACAGGACCATGAAGGTTAACAACAATAAATTATACTTGTATAGCACCACTCACATCAGAAAGGTGTCCCTGGGCACTAGATAGTCAGGGGTTTTGGGACCTGATCTGGGAGTTAGGATCAGGAGGGTGGCCAAAGGAATGGTCAAAGAAGAAAGTCTTTAGATGGGACTTGAAGGAGGCAAGAGAGGGGGGTTTAGACATAGGGATTGTCGGATAGGGTACCAAGTGTAGGAGCAGAGATGCTTAATGCCCGACCACCAATGGTGGGGCGTAAAGTGTGGGGGACCTGAAGCAAGCCAGTGACCCCCAAGTGGGGGAAACGGATAGGCTGATATAGGGTTAAGAAGTCAGAGAGGTTAGGATGGGAGCAAGGCTGTGAAGGGCTTTGAAAGTGAGAATGGGGTTTTGTACTCTATTTTCTGAGGATGAGGAGCCAACAAAGCCAGGCAAGAATGGGGGTGATTGCTTGAATAGTCTGGTACAGGAGAGGACACAAGTTGCAGAGTTTTTAATCATTTGCAGCTTGCGGAGGGAAGAGTTGGGAAGTTCATTAGCAGACAGTTGGCATGAGCGGAGAGGCAGTGATGGAGGATAGAATGGTCAACAGTGCCAAAGGCAGCAGAGAGGTCAAGGAGGACAAGAAGATAAGGGGGATCTGGTCACAGATGGACAGATTGCTCTGAAAGCTGGGTATCTGTACTGTAAATCATTGATTCTATTTGTCTTTTGACAATTTACTTGCAAACAATTACAGGCAAAGACCCAGGTTCTTACACAAGATTTTCACTCTATGGGGAACTGATCGTTTTTAAAACTATATCCAATAATAATAATAATTTGAGAACAGCATGGTCCCGCAAACAACTGTGAAGCAAATGATCAATTTTATTTTGGAGATTGTCGTCCAGGAGAAATTCCCTTCTCATTTTAAATAGTGCCACAAGATATTTAACTTCCAATTGGCAGACTCGATTTAATATCTCATCTGAAGGATGACACCACTGACAATGTGGCGCTCCCCAACACTGCTCTAGAATGCCAGACTGAGCTGAAAGTTCTTGATGTTGGACTTGGACCCAATGGTGGCTAAGGTACGGTCGAAGACAGGCAATGTGGTAGTGGTCGTGTAGAAAGGCAATCCTGGTCAGGAACTGGATGTAATGTAGGAAGGATAGCTGTGGGTCGATACCTGATGCCTAGGCTGAATCTGAGGGATAGGCTGGGGAGGTTGAGGAGGTCAGAGCTGCAGGACAAAAGACATTGACGGGAGCCAAGCAGTATTGCAGCATTTAGTTGCAATAAAATTGTGCTCATCCAAACCTTGATGTCCAGCAGAAAAGTCGAGAGCTGGAGTCGCAGTGGTAGGAGATGTAGTTTTGTGTCATGCGTATACATGTGGAAGTCTGCAAATGACATTGCCAAGAGGGAGCATGTAGAGAGGAAGAGGAGGGGGCCAATAATGGAGCCACAGATGACAGGCAGGGCAGGAGGAGAAAACATTTGAAGAGACAAAATGAAGGCGGTTTGTTAAGTAGGATTCGAACCAGGCATATGTGATCACACTAAGCTGGATGAGGGAGGAACAAAATAAATAATTTGGTCACTCTATCCACAGCTGTTTGTGGGTCACTGTTGTGTGCAATTGGCTGCCCTTTAACCCATAAAAAATATAGTCGCTCCAAGTTATAGTATATTCTGTGAAGCATTTTGAGACATCTCGATGAGGCACTACATCAAATGCAAGAATTATTATTAATATTATTATAAGGGTGTCGACGTACTGAGGGGAGAGGTAGTGGTGGAGGCAGGCGATGTTGCAGAGGTGGGAGAGAGCTGAACGGATTATGGGTCAGGGTTTAAAGAACAGTTGAGAGTCGAATGAGACGCCAAAGTTCCACAGTGACTCCATGAGGTGGAGATCCATGTAGGTTGATGCAGTCAGCACTGGAGGTGAGGAGGTGCTGATGGGAGCCAAGCAAGAGGGCCTCTGAAAGTTAGCTCTCATTCAGGACTTGATATCCGACAGGCAATTGTTAAGAACAGCAGTGGTCCTGAAATCAAGGGTAGAGGGTAAAGAGATAGAGCTCGGTGTGATTTATAAACATGCGCCTGCGGATGACATCGCTGAGCGGGAGCATGTAAATAGTACAGAGGAAAGTAGTGAGGACAGAATCCTGAGGAACGTGGCACGTGACGGTGCGGGGCTGGAGCAGAAGCTGTTGGCAGATGTTGTGATAGGTAAGAATGAATGAAAGAATGAAGCTATGAAAGAACAGAACCATGAAGCTGGAGCTGAAAGGCATGGCGGGGGAGAAGGAAGAGGGATCAACAAAAGATAAGAAGCAAGGAATGAGAAAGAACATAAGCAGAGAGAAGGAGAACCAGAGTGAAGGTGAAGAGAGAGAGAAATAGGGAATGAAAGAGATGAGAGATGAGGAGAGATCGGAGAGATGGAGGAACGAGTGAGAAGATCAGGAGAGAGAATGCAGTGAGATGAGAGAGACAGTTTGATCACAGTGTCTGCTGCTGTTTCCATGGTGACGCAGAGACTTTTATTGTTGCTGATGCCCTGAGGCTGGGGTTTGCTGAATGCTAATGCAATTGGGGGAAGGGAAGTGGATGGTCAGAGAGTGTGCGTGTGCGTACGAGTGCGAGTGTGAGAGTGAGTACAGGAAGCTTGGCGACAGATGTGAGTGGGTTACACACCACCTCCATCGGGATGTGAGCAGCCCAGCAGTGAAGCCACGGCAGCACAAAGGTATCCAAAAAGCAGCACAAAATCTTCTAGAAAGATCTGTGAGAAAAGCTGGAATCACTGTCAGACCATTCACCAACACAGACATGTGAGAGCCCTGAGTGTCTGCATTTGTGTCAGGGTCTGTGTGGTGCTCCTTGTCCAGTTGTATCTCAGTGTGTGTCTGGGTCAGTTCTGTGCTTCAGTGTGTGTCTGGGTCAGTGTCTGGGTGTGGATCTGTGTCTGGAATATTGTTCTGCTCTATATCGGGGTCAGTGCCGGTGTCTGTGTTAGTGTTAGTGTCTTGGTCCAGTTCTGTGTCCAGATCTGTAATCAGTTGTCTCGGTGTGTATCTGTGTCTGAGTACACATCCAGTTATATATCTGTGTCCAGAACTTATATCTGTGTCTCTGTCTGGGTCCAGTCCAGGGCAGTTCTGGTTTCTGGGTCTCTGTTAGGGCCTGGGTTCGGGTCTGTGTCTGGGTCTCTGTCTGCATCTGTGTTTATGTATTTGTTTCGGTCTGTACCTGAGCATGTGCCCAGGTCCAGTATCTGGATCTGTTTCTGGGTCTATTATAGTATCCATGTCCATGTATGAGTCTGTGTCCGGATCTATGTATAGATCTGGATCTGTCTCAGTTTTTGTCAGAGTCTATATCTGGATCCATTTTTGTATCCATGTCCGTGTATCCGTGAATGTGTCTGTGTCCATGTCTATGGACTGTCCATGTTTATGTCGGTATCGATATATGTGTCTGTATCCAGATCTGTGTCCATCAATATATGTGCCTGTTTCTGGGTCAATGTCCATGTCCGCATCTGTGTCCCTGTCCGTGTCTATGTCCATGCCTTTGTCTTTACCCATGTCACTTCTATGGCTATGTCTGTGGAGGTGCCCTTGTCTGTGTCCATTCTATGTATGTACCTGTGTTCATGTCTGTTCAAGTCTATGTATGGTCCACATCTGTGTCCGTGTTCATGTCCTTGTCTGTGTCAGTGTTAGCATCTATGAACTTCCCGGTGGGCAACACACTCAGCATCTCAGGCGTTGGACATACAAACGTGTGTCATGAACTCGGACTCCAGCTAATGCTTACCAGTAGCTAATGCTAACCCTAAGCTGTCACCCCAAGCCGCATAGTTTCCTTATCAGCTATCTGGTGGGCATCTGTCTGGTGGAGGACCTTTACAGGACAGCTGGTGACATGCCAGCCACCTTGATGTTCTCAAGCCCCAGGTCCAATGCCATGTTCCAGGATTATTCAACACCAGCTACTCAATACAGGTTCTCATGTGAAGGGCCTTAGCAAATAGACATGCCTGCTGTGAAACCTCCTCCACCTCCAGGGTGCTAGTGACAGGTCAGTGTAAGCCGGAGCCCTCCCACTCTGCAGCCACTTCTCCTGTTTATCACAAACCCATTTCATGTGTCTGTGTAAGTGTCCCTGCCAGTACCTTGTCCATGTCTATGCTTATGTCTATGTCCCTTCCATGTCATGTTTCTGTCTGTGTTAGTGTCGTTTTCTATATTTGTGTCCATTTGAACATAACATGTCCATTTGTGTCTGTGAAGCGCTTTGGGACATCCTCCCGACGTGAAAAGCGCTATATCAAATGCAAGGATTATTATTATTATTATTATTATTTATATTTGTTTCCATGTCCTTGTTTGTGAATATATCCATGTCTGTGTCTGTGACCATGTCTGAATCCATGACTGTGTCCCTGTCAATATCCACGTCCATGGCCAGGGCCAGATTAAGGGATCGCTGGGTCCTAACCAAAATCACCAAGAGCCTTTTGAACTATATACACAAACTATGCAACATACTTTTTAACATACTTTCTTGCTTGACTTCATAGTTGTATCAGCTACATGATCCAAATTTAGTGTTTGTGTCAAATCCTGCTCAACAGTCTGGATTGTGAATGCTTTTACTCTATCCTGGATCACTGTAGATCTGAGTAAGATTATGATGAGATTTAGCATTGAGAACGAGCATCACCTTCACACACATTACTGGTTGTGTTATGATGAGCGATGGCCAGATTGGGAAATCTGTCTGTCACTCACTGACCTCCAATCCCGCCCCTTGGCTGTCACTCACTGACCTCCAACCCCACCCCTTGGCTGTCACTCACTGACCTCCAACCCCACCCCTTGGCTGTCACTCACTGACCTCCAACCCCGCCCCTTGGCTGTCACTCACTGGGCTATACCATGTTTATGTGCTTATGGTCACCTCTCCCCACCCACCCACTACCGGCTCGGAGTCAGGCTCCATCACTGTTAAGGGTTCTGAGATGCTACCCCTGTATGGAGGGCACTATATAAATGCAAGTTGTTGATGTTGTGTACGGCAACAACAACATTCCATTTATAGAGCGCCTTTCACGTCGGGAGGATGTCCCAAGGCGCTGTACAGTTGGGTCAGGACCCGAGCATTGGGGGGAAATGGTCAGGGTGAGGGGAGGGAAGGGAGGGAGTGAGGAGGGGGCAGAGCTGTGAGGGACGTCAGGAGGGGCGGAGCTAGAGGTATGATTCATATCCCCAGCTCCGCACTTGTAGCACAGAGCAACTGGAAGAGAGGCGGAGCTGGGAAGTAAAGGCATCAATCATAGTGGGGCCCTCAGACTTCTGGACCCAAAGCCATGGCATGTTGGCTAATTCGGCCCTGCTGAAACTCCAGGGCAATGCTGGGGGAGCTCTGCAATGTCGGTGTTGCTGTCCTTCTGATGAGACATTAAACCGAGGTCTCATCTGCCTGTTCAGGTAGACGTTAAAGATGCTGTGGTGCTATGTGAAAAGTGAATGGAGCCTGTCTCTCCTGGTGTCCTAACTAACATTCACCCAAATAAAACTGGTCACTCACTTTATAGCTGTTTGTAGGACACTGCTTGTACACAAACTAACTGCTGGATTTTTTATCCACAAAATATGCAGTAAATCCACTATATTCTGTGAAGCACTTTGAGGTGTCTTAGTGATGTGATAAATTGCTAAATCGAATGCAGCGATTATTATTATTATTATTATTCATGTCCATGTCCAATGCCTGTCCCCATGCCTGTGTCCTTGTCTGTGTCCATATCCTTGTCCATGTCCAGATCCCAGTTGGTGTCTCTGTCTGTGACCTTGTCTGTATCCGTGTCAGTTTCTGTGTGTGTATATCCATCTTCATGTCCATATTTCTGTTGCTGTCCCTGTCCTTGTGGGTGTCTGTTGCCATATGCATTTCTATGTCTGCTATCATGTCCTTGTCTATGTCTGCATCTATATCTGTGTGGTTCTGCATGACCATGAATACGTTTGCACCCATATCCATGTCTGTGTCCATACCATGTCCTTATCTGTGTCTGCATCTGGTTTGTGCCCATATCGGTCTCTGTATCCATGTCCATGCCATGTCCTAATTTGTGTCTGTTTTCATGTCTGTTTATATATCTGCATCTGTGCCCCTATTTGTGTCTATGTCCTTTCCTGTCTCCATGTCCATTCCAGTGTCTGTGTCCAATTCCATGCCAATGTCCATGCCTGTGTTTACTTCTGTCTCCATACCAGTACCATGTCCATAACCCTGTACTTGCCTGTGACCTTGTATTTGTGTATGTGTTTGTGTCCATGTTCACTTCTCTTTGCCCATGACAGTGTCCGTGTGTGCCTGTGTCCATATCTATGTCTTTGTGATTGAGTCCTTTTCTGCATCCTTGTTTGTGTCCATGTCTATGATTTTGTTTGTGTCTTTCTCTATGCTAAGATTAATTTGGCAGGGGAGGGGTGTAACATCAGAAAGGAGAAACAATGTGGACACAGGACTGGGAGAGACAAACAGCCTTGGAATAAAGAATAAGTTGAGAAATAGGAGGGATCAGACAGGGGAGAAAAGCAAAAAAGGTTGGGATGCATGTGACAAATAGGTTGGTGAGCTGCAGGCACAACTTGCCAAATGGGATTACGTCTCCGTTCATTGGCTTCTTGTCAATTGCCTAATTAATCCTAATTGAGTATTCAACAGAGGGGAGAGAGAGTGGTTGAGAAAGAGAGAATGAGGGAGAGTGAAACAAAGAGAGTGCAGAGAGAGAAGTGAGCACAGTGTTTTGTGGTTCACTGTCGGGACAGACCATCGTAGCCTACCTCTGCCACTGTGGGGGAAACACCAATGAACTGAGGTCAGACACCGAGTCACGTGCAGTTTTCTCGCAACACGCTCCCTCTTTCCCCCAATAAGAAACTCCTCTACGTCCTTCATTCCACTCCCCACCCTACCTCTGAGATATCCCATCTTGGCCGTTATCTTTGCCCAGCAAACACCAGCTTGCTCCATCTGTCCCGCCATCACCATTTTCCCCCCACTATCTGGAGTTCCATTTGTGGAGTTCCTCCAACTCACTCCCTCCCTGTCTTTTCAAGGCCATAAGAACCAACTTTGACCGCACTTTTGGTCATCTTTTCCCCTACCCCATCCCACCTCCCTCAGCTCCCACCCCCAGCTCAGGTGCATAAATGTCAGTGTCAAGCAGTTTGAAATGTCTTTCCGATGTTAAAAAAAATGTTGTGTAAATGTTATGGTTCTGGAAGGGAACACAAAATATTGCTTATACTGCCTGCAAACCTTTCTCAAATAGGGAATCCGGCCCTCAGCAGCCAAAAGGTTTCCTGATGTAGACCACTAAATAGTGGGAAGGAGATAGAGGAGCAAATCTGCAAGCAAATTTCAGAAAGATGTAAAAACAATAGAGTAATGATAACGGGAGACTTCAATTATCCTAACAAAGACATCGAAACACACAGTGTAAAGGGCAAGGGGAGGAAGAATTCCTGAAATGTGTACAGGAGAACTTTCAGGATCAATATGTTTCCATCCCAATGAGGCAGGAAGCAGTGCTGGATCTCGTTCTGGGGAATGAAGTGGGGCAAGATAAAAGGGAACACTAAAGTATTTCATAAGCATATAAGGAATAAAAGGTTAGTCAACGGTAGGGTGAGGCCGATTAGGGTTCCAAAGAGGAAATCTTCTTGTGGA